GCCCCCGAGCCCGCCGTTAAGTATCTTTAAGAATGGGAGAGATGTCTGTGTGTTTAGGGGCTGAGGGGAGAGAGAGCCCCTCCTGAAGGGAAGAGGTCGAAGACTGTACAGAAGGTTTGCTTTTTTTAAAATGCTGAAGCATGGCTTGGAGGGGATGTTTTCAGGGCAGAGCAGAGAGAGCTGGCCTTCCATAGGAAAGGGAACATCACATCCTTTCAGAGTGAAAGTTAGAATGCGTGCAGATTCAGGAATGTGTATGACTGGGCAGTTTTTATGACCTCAAGTTTCTTGAAGATGTGAGAAGTGATATTTTTTTCTGAGAATGAGGGATTTGGGGGTTCCATAGAGGACAGAGAGAATGACAAGGACTTGAGCAAGCATGGATAGGAAGCTAACCGAAGGCCAGTTAAAGGTTTGCCAGGCCTCACTGAGGGTTTACCTATGGGTGAAACCCATGAATTTCTTATGATACTGTCTGTGTAGTTGTGTTTTTCTCCTTCAGGGTATATTAGTCTAGTCTGGGGGTGGCCATCTAGAACTGAGCTTTTCTTGAATTGATGCAATGAAAAGATAGGAATGTAGAGGAGCTAAAAGAGTTGAAAATACTGTTAAAAAGGTGATAAAAGGTGGTGACTACTGAGCACACTTTGTTACTATACTAGAATTTTTGGCAACTTGTCCACCTCTTTCTTTCAGCCTCTCTCTGCCTGCTCCCCTCCCTCTGAATTTTTTCCCCAAAGGCGCTTGCATTTAATGAAAGAAATAGCCTTTATAAATCAGGTGCAATCAATGGCATATGTGCCTGAGTAGTGTTATGTACTCAGTGTTCAGAGGACATTGAAGAAGGAACAATGGACTGCATCAAAGAATTTGGGAAATCATCATAAGGGGGGCTGATATTTGAGCTGGAATTTAAAGGTATGTGGGTGTTGGGGATATGGTATCGTAGGGAACAACCCAGACAGGATGGGTAAGGATGGAGAGAGCCTTCTAGACAAAGACATATTCAAAGAAAGACCTAATGGCATGAGAAAAGTCACAGTATATTTGGGAAATGGCAGGACATTCCAGACATGGTGAAGGGTTTGGGAAGGGTAGGTAGGCCGAGTGGCAGAAGTTTGGGGCCAGATTGTCACTGTTTGGATTTTATTCCTTAACCCAATTGGTCATTCTTGAAGATATTCATTCTAATAATAATAGCTAACATGTATTGAAAGTTTTATTCCAGGTGCAATGCTGAGCATTTCATGTGCCATCTTTTTTAATTGTAGTAGATGTTCACAGCAATCCAATGAAGCAGATCTTGTTATTCCATTTACCAAGTGAGGAAATTGAATCTTGAACAGGTTAGGTAACTGAGATCAAGGTCTCACAGAAAGAAAGTAGATGAACTAGAACTCAGTCCAAGTTTGACTAATTCTAAATCTATGCTTTAAAGTTCTATTCTATACTTACATTTTAGGATAAAGGAATGGAATATGGGGTAGTATAGATTATCCATTCATTCCCACCTTTTAGTTTGAGAGCAGGATCCTGAGTGATAAGGATTTTCTCACACTGAAGGGTCAGAAGTGAGGGCTTAAGAGAGTGGGGACTGAGAGACAGGGAATTTCAGGCAGAGGGACAGTATTTGCAAAGGGACAGAGGGCATAACAAGTTTAGCATGGCAAAATCAGAAAGGATGCTATCGATGAACCAGAAATAATCCTCATCTTTGGGATGGGTCAGAGTCTTATGAGTTCTTATTAGTGAGCTCAGTCTTGGTCTCCTCCTTTTAAGTGGAATGTCAACATACTAGATTGTCTAGAGAGGAACAAGAAAAATGATTCAAAGCTGGCAGAGGTAAAGGCAGTGGAACTAATGAATCACAACTCCCTGCTACAGGAAAGATTGAAAGAGTGTAGGTCGAACTGAAGAGGTAGGAGTAATGATGATGACGCTATCTAACTTGTGCTGAACACTTACTCTGGGTTAGGTAGGGTTCTCAGTGTTGTACGTGTTTTAAATCTTTTAATCCTCACAGTGTCCTTCTGAGGTAAGTACTATTCTCATCAATCCCATGAGGGTGAGGAAACCAAAGAAGTACATCACTTGCTAAGGCAGCAGAGCCAGTAGGTGGTAGGACTGGGATTTGAATTCAGACCCTCTGACTTAGGAATTTGTGTGATCAATCACTACACATCCTGTCGATACCAGAGGGACTACTGGTTTTCAGAACAGTGCGTGGGTTTGCTCTTTTTTGAAATCTTGCAGGTCTGTCTGTCTTTGACCACCAGAAGAATCATAGCTTATTAAGGTAGATGAGGAAGCAGGAAGAACAAAGTCCTACAATATAGCTCCCTAGTAGAATATAGATTTCAGCTTACTGTTCTGTGGAAGTAGAAGGCATTGGTCATAAGAAAGTGCAGCTCTTTTGAGGGAGATGGAGTCAAAGTTAGATATATGAATGGTCTTAGAAAGAGTGTCTCCCAAAGGATTAAAAATGCCATCTCATTTTTACATTGTAGAATGCATTCACTTATTCTGTTTTCCTCCCCATGACTTACTTTTAGTGGAATTGTGATTCATTAACTGGCTTTAAGAAAGAGGGAAAAGCTAGATAGAATCATGAGACAGTTAAAAAAATTCTTTGAAAAGAAATTTCTCCATTCTGATTTCCTATTCTCATTTTGCTGGTGATCAAGGCAGTGGTAGCCTCATGTTGCAACCATGTTGCACTTGGAGTAAGTCCCTTAGACCACAAAAGCTGTTATATTCCTGGAGTGTGTATGTATTTGGGGAGGATGGGAAGGGATGGGGGACATTGCCTTTTAGCCTACTGTGGGCAGACCCACCTATTTGTACTTGATTGAACCACAAGCCTGCATTGTGGAAAAATGCTGGTTTGGTCAGGTTTCCCTTTTTTTTTTTTTTTTTTTGTGAGTTG